GCCCTCTGCGTCCGTGGTTCCTGGACGAGAGGAAGCGCTGGGGCGGCACCATCAGCAACAGTAAGGTCCACAACGGGACCACCATCGCCCACGCTGGGGACAGTAAGCGTACCGGCCTCACTGGCAGGAGAAGGGGAAGGAGCCCTCTTCGTCTTCTTAGAGACGCTCACGCCGGCCTCGGTCAACTTTTTTTGGCCGTCAGTGGCCGGTCTCTTTTTCTTGGACGGGGCAGGCTTTGGGGCCGCATCTGCAGTAGCCCCGCTCACACCGGCCGCGGCACGCCTGGCCGCTTCGGCCGCCTTAGCAGCAATTTCCTCGGCCGCTTTGGCCTTTGCAATAGCCATCATGGAACGGCGGTCCATGACAAAATCTACAAGGGAAAAGCAAAAACATATTAGTAAGGCAAAGGACAAAACGTAAAGACAGAAAGCCGAAGAAAAATTACCATCGGCCTCAGCAGGAATGCCCAAAGGCGGGCCATCGGCCTCCTCAAAGGTGGTGGTCATCCTCGGCCAGAGTTGGAGGTCATCCTCCTTATCTCCATACAAGTGATATCTGAAGAAGCCGAGGGCCGTCATCTTGTATTCAGTGACGTAATCTTTCACGCTCCTCGGCCCCCCTTCCAGGAAAGCCTCCACCTGAGCGTCCAGAATAGAGCTCTTCGGCGGGTCATGAAGGTTGAACCTCCCGGTATGGCCGAGGGAGGGGAACTAGGTGCCACTCTCACCGATGGACACAAACACGAACTTGCTCTTCCACCCATGAATGGACGTAGGCAAATCCGTGAAACTCCTCTTCCTCGGCAGCTGTTGAAGAGTGGCATAGGCCGCACAGTTCTTGTGGCTTCCTCGGCCGATCTGGTACAAATTCATGAATAAGGCCGTGGTCGGCCTGTAGCCCAACTCCTCACACCGAAGCAAGAAGCCCACTATCAAGGAATAACTGTTCGGCGTCAGCAGGGCCGGAGGAAGCCCCACCATGTCCAGGTACTCGGTGACGAAAGGGTGAAGGGGGAACCTCAACCCCTTAGCAAAACTCATCGGGTATACTCTGAAGTATCCCGGTGGCGGAAGTAGAACATGGTTTGTCGGCCTGGGTGCCCTAACCCGCCCGAACGGCCCCACGTACATCTGGGCGACAAGATAGTCGGCCTCACTGCTCTCCGGCTTAATCAAGAATATGTTGGTGAGGTCCAAGTAGGAGAGGCCCGGCCCATTCTTCGGCCTCCTCACCCTCTTCGGCTTAGCTGCGCCCTTCACGGCGGATACCGGCCTCGGGCACGGAACGGCAGCAGAAGTGGACGCCCCGTCCACCGCTCGGGACGCGCCTACGTCCCCACCCTCTGAAGAGGAGGCGGACTCCTCGTCCTCGCCCTCCTCGTCCATCAGCTCTCCGGATTTGTAGGGGCTCAAACGCTCTATCTCCTCTTCAAATTCCTCGAGCACCTCGTAGTCAAGGGACCTCGTGGAGGGCTGGTCGTCGTAGGGGTAGTAGTCCACGTTTAAGCTCTTCATTACTACTTTTACGGACTTAAGGAGAACAATTTACGATCTAAAGGTGTTTCAACGCCTAACACTAGACCAACTACTTACGGAGCAAAATATAAAAAGTGAGGAAGATCGTGATAAACACTAACCTCAAACAACGAAGAACACGAAGAACAGGCTTGGGAGTTTATCTCTCTAGAAAATCGGCCAGCACTTCGACAAATTCAGAATGCAAATGTGATTCTTCGTCGGAGGGGAAGGGGTATTTATAGACCTCCCACCAACGGTCACTACACGTGGCACTCACCCAATGGCCACATCAACGGCCACCACTGGGGGGCCACCACGTCACCAACGGGCCAGTACCAACCCATATCAACGGCCCACTGGCAAATTAGACTCTACGGCCTACACACGCTCAACGGCTTTACAACTGCCAGCAAGCGCCCACAACGTCCCACTTGCTCACCAATATCACAAATGCCAAACAAAAAGAGGATGGCTACGGCCAGGTACGTGACGGCCACAGAACAAAGGGAACAAATAGCCCACAGCCTTCGGCTCCTCGTAATAACCCTTGATGATAACTCTCTACAAGCGATCTGCGCACAAGGGTTCTCCCACAGGGTTACCTTGGCCAGAAAATCGCCATGAGAGTTGGATTCAGGGGGACTACGGCGAGACCGCTTCGGCCAGGGACTCAAGCAACTCCTTCACCCCTCACACTCTTCGGCCTGAAGCAGTGGGGGACTGGGGGACTACACCGGCCTCAACGAAACAAAGGTATAAACAAGGTAACCACAAAACATGGCCACATCATCCACACAACACAACGGAACCTCATCGGCCAAAGGCCCAAAACGTCATTAGCAACGGCCAACAAGCCACTAGAGGCAAGGACACTCATCGTCCTCCGCCAACAATTAATCTTAACGGGCTCTTCGGCCAAAAACACGAAGGCCAACCAGCAACGGCCAAAAGGAGTGCGCAGATACCCTCATCGGCCACACAAAGAAAATGAGGCCATCGTCCTCAAAGCAAGGAACAAACCCAACGGCTTCACCGGCCCAAACATAAACTTCAACCACCAACGTCCAGGAAAGGGAAAGCGCGCCTTCAACGTCCACCATTGAAAGAAGGACACTCATCGTCCCAAAACAAATTAAGGAAACAACGGCCTCCCCGCCACAGCGAGGGACAGGTAACGGCCAAGGCACAGAACAGGATCATCAAAGAGGAAACAACGCCAACGCCGCAACGGCTAACGGCCTGGAAATGCCCGCGTCGGCCAAAAGCAACAGCACGGAAATCTACTCTCCTTCACTTCGTCTACGTCTCAGCTTAGAGAGTGGGGGACTCCTGATGGAGTATATGGGTCTGAGCCCCAGGACCCACATACTCGGAAGAACAGAGCACAGGACAACAGAGTGGCGCCCTCGTCGGCCAAGACGCCCCCGTCGGCCGAGAAGAAGCCAACCCGGATTATGATCCTGAGTCCAAGGAACCCGGGTGCCCTCGTCGGCCGTGCCCTCGTCGGCCACGCCCTCGTCGGCCACGAGGACCCCCCAGAATCGGATCCTATACTTACTCATTTGTACAGCCCATTAGTGGCTTTGTATTCGGCCCAGTAGCGGTCCAGTTGTAAATGGGCCTCCCAAGCCCAAGGCTTGGGAGCCCAACCCTAATTTTCTCTATAAATACTCCCCTTGGGAGTAGTTATAGGGGTTACAAAATCATTCTATTGAAGCATATTATTGCACTTCTCTCTCTAGCTCTCACTTCTCTCTAGAATCTAAGAGGTATACGCTATCAAAGTGAGCATCTCGGGAGTAATCCGAGGTGTCGGTTTTCCACATCCGGATAAATGTGGAGGGTGATTAGAGCTACTACTACTAAGAAGTACAGTTTAAGTTTCAAGTGACATTTGGATCTATGATCCCTTTTAAAAAGAAGTTATAGCAGTAGTCCCTAATCATTCAAGAATTTTAGAGGTGGGGTGGTTGGGTTCCGACCACTCGGGATGACTTACTACTCGGAGGGCTTGGAATCATTTTTATATAATATTATATAAAAATCTATTTTAGTCAACCTGATTATTTTACGGGGTTGGGTAGTACTTACTTAGCTCTAAAGCTAATTTTTGTTTCCTTTTCTTTGTTTTGTTTTCTGCACTTTAATTCTGCAGGTGATGATGGTCATGTTGATTGCTGAATGCATGCGCCTGAGAGCGAATTAGAAGTTGCCTTAGTCGAACTTAGTTCTAACTAAACATTTATTTATTAGTCTTTATTATTTTGTTTTGGTTTGCCTGTGCATTCGGTTAAGAGATGACCGGATGTGGCGGTAATACCCATTTCCCTATTTTAGACTTCCGCTGTAATTCTTCAACTCTTTGATGAATGAATAAAGTATTTCTTTTAAATATATCATTTTTTTTTGACGGGAAATTTAGGGGTGTTACAATTGGCCTGATGCACACTTCCTTCTTTTCTCCAGCCTGCGCAGGAAGCCTCCCGTCAAAAAGCCTACCGATTCCGCCCCCCATGGGTGCCATCCACCTACTTGGCACCCCAAAATACATGGATTGCAGAGTTTTTTTTATGAATGGCTTAAAATTGGCTTATTCACCATTGGTTTGCGGATAGCCTTAGTCGGTTAGCTATCAAGAACTCTGCGCATATGGACCTACTAGCGCATATGGACGGTCGGCTACTCCATATTAAAGCTCCGCTGGGAAACGTAAGGGGAAGCAGTGGGCTAATATTACATGAAGCCCAAATTGAGTCTCAAAGTTGCTGATGGGCCACAATTTTAACATCACTTCAAGTTCAGCCCACTTCAAAAAGCTAAGTGCTTCTCTTTAATTTTTACATTATTTATATTTATTTAAATCATTTCTTTTTGTCGAGCGAATGTCACACTATCACGCACTTATGATCAAATGCCTAGTAGAGTGGGACTTGAGACCCATCACTAGGATTTAAAGCCTTGACCAAGTCAGGCACAAAGCCCCGACCAAGTCGGGCATGAAGACCGGTCTTAGTCATTCCAAGAATGGCGACCGTTGCGTACGAATGGCTCACACATCCACTCTACCAAGTATTTTATCATTACATTAGCAATTCACATTTCCACTTTTTTAAAGCGACGAACTCCCGATCGGAAACATAAACCCCAAGAAAAAATTTATGTATCTTAAATGTGTAGGTACGAAGATGACTTTACTCATTTTCACCTCGTCTCCACTCGCCCCAAAGGGTGGGGGACTGAGGGACTGGGTGACTGAGGGGTCAGAGTTTCTGGATGAGCAAAAAATATCACGCATACGCAGGAATGAGAGCTGAGTCGGATGAAGAGGAGCTGAGCTAGACAAAATTGATTATGCCGGAGGGATCTTACCTTCCTTGTTTCATGTTGGGGGTGCTAGGTGTACTCTTTTTCCCTTTTTTTTAACCGCACAACTCTTTATTTTAAGCATCTCGAAAATGAAGCATGAAGAGTGTTATGGGATGGAGATTCATATGTACCAAAAAGTAACCAAAACGGTAAAATTGAATATCAATAAAACAGGAAGGCATGCCCTCGAAACTGGATGCAACACCAGTCTGTTGTAGCAAGGTTAACCTATTTGAGAAAAGAATTGCCCGTTCACAAACTTGCAGCTGTTGTATGATACAAAGTTGCACGAGAAATGTAAACCAATTTATCAGAGTCCTTCGGTTTAAATTCCATAGCAACTACAATTATACTTCTTCCACTCTTAACTACATATCCATGAACCATCACTTCTGCATTAAGAGGAGCAGATGTGAGGTAAGACATGCTTAAGTCTCCAAGAAATAGCTCTCTATCCTTTCCCACAATTGTTCTAGCCCAAGCAATCGCCACTCTCTCAGCTATTGCACCAACCGCACCCCGTGCATCCCACCAAAACCATTCATGATAGCAGGTTTGACGACTAGCAGGCACATGAGTTTCCCAGGATGGATGTGGTGGACATGGAGGACACCTTGAGTAAGGTGACAGAAAGCGCCCCTGGCCTGGTGTTCAGGAGGAAAGCTAGTCCCATAAACTCTTATGGATCTCATGAAGTCATCGAGCAGACGGATGGAATCCGAAGATAAATCTGGAGATAGTCTTGTGGTGTTGAGGAGGCCGGTGGCGGTTACAATGTCGTTTTTCCTTGCCATTGCGTCCTTCCAAAATTTCTTGTTTCCACTTATGTTCTCAAAATCACGACGGCGACCAGGACAGAGTGGCCGGGTAAGGGCGAGTCCGTGTACTCTTTTTCCCTTTATTAGGATTTTTTCTTACTGGGTTTTTTCCTAGTAAAGGTTTTTAACGAGGCACTTCCCCATCGTGGACAAGGGTGGTGGTCCCCCGGCCGAAGAGGAAGAAATCAAAGACAGAAGAACGTTGCAGATACAATTATGGACTACTCCCTTTCACCTTGAATACTCTCGGCTCAAGGAGTGGGGGACTCCTGATGGAGTATATGGACCCAGACCCCCCGATCTGCCGACTATTGAGCCTGGACAACGGCCCCACGTACGCTCAGTAGATAACATTTATATTATTGTACATTATTGTTATTCGGGTGTACTAGATTAGCTTTTTATACCATTATTCCATTTATGTAACCGGGTCTGTCAGGCCCGTATTAGAGGCTCAGACCCGAATTTCCCTATATATACTCTTTATAGGAGGCTTGTAATCAACACAACTTTCCCATTCAGACACAATACTTCTTCTCTTCTCCTTCTTTCTTGTTCAAATCTTTCCTAGTTTATACAATATGGGTATCAATTATCCATCATCTTGCTTTTTGTGATTATGCACAAACTTGTTTAAATCCTCAATATAGAGGTTATAGTCGCAAAACGGTTAAGAAAGAAATTTCAAGGCTTTATGGTGCGAAAAAGGTAAGGTTACAAAATAATTTTGCAAACTTTGATGGGCGTGTTACTGTATGTTCTGACATATGGGAGGATATTTATCATAATTTACATTATTTGGGTCTGACTGTACATTATATTGATAATGATTGGAATATGCATAAATGTGTTCTTGCTTTTCGTTAATCGAATGATCATCACACCGCTGAACATATTTATATTTTGATTGAGCATATTTTAATTGAGTATAATTTAATTGATAAGGTGTTTGCTATTGGTTTTGATAATGCTACTAATAATACTGCTGCTATTCCTAGATTGCGTGAATTATGTGGTTCTACTTCTTTGATGAGTAGATTTTTTCATCAACGATGTGCATGTCATGTTATTAATTTATGTGTTCAAGATGGTCTAAAAGCGTTAGGAGCATCTTTGGAGGTAGTCAAGGGGGGATTATTTGATTGAAAGAAGTGAAAAATATGTGGCTTTTCTTAAAGATTTGTCTATTCGTTGGAATAGTACTTATAAGTTAATTGCAGTTCTTCTTAGATATAAACAACATTTTCCTGCTTTTACGAAACAATATGATAACTATATTATAAATTCGGCTGAGATCGACACCTGCGAAAAAATTTGTAATGATTTGGTATATTTTAATAATGCAACTGAAACTTTTAGTCATGTTTATAAACCTACCTCAAACCAATTTATTCGTGAAGCTGTTAATCTCGCCGGTGTTTTTTCAAATTTTGAGAATTCCGATTGTGTGAGTTATTTTGCTGGTTTTATGAAGAAAAAGTTTTAAAAATATTATTCACATATTCCGCATATTTATGGTATTGCATTTGTTCTCGATCCTCGTTTTAGACTTGGCCTTTAAAGAATGTTGGAATTATTATTATGCTGCTTTTTTTGGTCCAATGCCAATGTATGACGACAACCCAATTGATCCGAAAAAAGAATACAACAAGGTTAGTGATATATTTTATGCATTATTTAATGAGTTTCATGCACAATATGGCAACGCGCCCACTCCCCCGACACAAACCTCTTCATCTAAAGGAAAATCAATTTTGAAATATACATTTGTCAATCTTATTAAAAAACTAAAACAACACCCGCTACTCAACAAAGCACAATTAATGAGATTTCTTTGTATTTAATATATGATGTTGATTTTGAAGAAGATGATGACTTTTACGTTCTAAACTGGTGGAAGGGAAATGAAAGAATGTTCCCGGTTTCAGCAAAGATGGCTAAGCAAGTGCTATCAATGCCGGTTTCATCAGTTGCCGTCGAACAAGAATTTAGTTCGGGCGGCAATGTCCTAACGCAGTGTAAAATGAGATTGAGCGCAGAATCTCTTGAGATGCTTATATGCTACCACGATTGGTTGAAGGCGGCCCGTAGAGCTCAAAAAATTGAGATCACCCCATCCCAACACTTTATGGATGAATCTACAACCGAGGGTGGCTCTACCTATTACGAAGATTCCGATTGATTAGTGTTTCACTATTTCATGTTTTAATTTTACCTTCAATTGTAACTTGTAAACTTGCAGTTCATGTTTCAAATAAATATACATTCATTTTTTTTTATGGCATTTTTTACAAAATTCATAAAATTAATTAATTAATTTTACATTATGTAGTTTATTCAAACTAAAATAAACAAAAAAAAATAAATAAATCAAAGGCCCCAAACGGCCATATAGCCGTTGGGACTTGTTTGAAATTTGAATCAATAGAGCCGTTGGGGTGGGGGTGGGGTAAGGGGTGGGGGTACAAAAATTTCTATAAATACTCCTATTTTCTAACATTTTTATACACATCTTATCCAATCTCCCGTCTTCATTCTCCATCTTCATCTCCATCTATTCTAATATATGTAGAATTACTATATCTACCATTATTAAAATGGAAAGTCAATATGACATTGTACGGTATAATTTTGATACGCAGGACCTGAGGATCGGGATGAGGTATGCAACTTGCAAATGGTACAGAAAAAATGTACCATGAGGGTTTTACGCGGATACAGAATAACTATGAAGCATATCAAGTCATGTGACAAAGCTAGTGTTGGACTCGAGTCTGGCCACCCGGCCTGTGTAGGGGTGGATTCGGTTCGGGCCACCCGGCCCGTGACTCGGCCCGACCCGGTACTGTGCGGGCCCGGGACCGGCCCGGTCGGGCGGTCCGGGACCGGGTATGGACCCGAACCGGTGGGAATGGGCGGGGCGGGCTCGGTGCTGGATTAATGTGACCCGGCCCGGCCGAGTCGAGCCCGGTCTTAAGATTTAAAAAAAATTGGTTCTTGGGCTACTAGCCGTTGGGGGTGGGGGTGGGGACAACCCAAACGGCTATATAGCTGTTGGGTGGGGTAAAGGGGAGGTCCGGGGGGGTTGGGTGGGGGGTAAAAAAACCTATCAATACTCCTAATCTTAAACATTTTTTCATATCTCTTCTTCAATTCTTCCTAAATCCTATTCTTAACTCTCTAACTCTAATTCTCTTATTCTCCAATATATTATATTTATTATTTATATATCTACTTTATAGTTTATACTTAAGAAGTTAAGATGGAAAATCAAGATGCCATTATACGGTATAATTTTGATAAGCAGAAGGACCCGAAGACCGGGATGTGGTACGCAATTTGCAAATGGTGCGAGAAAAAATGTAGCATCGGGGTTTCAGGCGGATTCGGGATGGCAATCAAGCATATGAAGTCATGTGACAGAGCCAAAGGATCGGGAGGTGCGGGAAGTTCCGATTGATTACAATTTTCAAAATGTTTCTCTCTTAAAGTTTGTTTTAATTTTCAAATGTAATTCCTATTTCATTTCAAATAAATGCAATTGAAGTTTGTTTTTAATACTCGTATAAAACTATAAACTATAAAATATAAATTATAAAAAAAAAATTCACTGGCCCGAACCGGACCCGACCCGTGACCCGAGCGGGTGGCTCGGCCCGAACCGGACCCGTCCAACCCTCGGGCCGGTCCCGAGCCCATGTCATACAACCCGGCGGCCCGACCGGGCCTAGGCCCGGCACGGTCCCGACCCAGCCCTAGTCCATCAATAGGCCAGTGGACCGGCCCGGCCCGCTACTGTGCGGGACCGGGACCGGCCCGGTTCTCGGGTCCGGGTCGGGCCTAGGCCCGGGGGGTAGGGCGGGTCCGGACTAGGGTCTCAATTTTGGTGAACCGGCCAAGTCGGGTCAGGCCCGGGCCTGGGCCAAATTGAATTTTTTTTTACTTTTTTTTCATTTTTGGGGTTCCACCCGGGTTGGACTTGATGGATAGGATGGAATTGGGGGGGTTGGAAGGGTGAGGGTGGGGGGTTAGGAAAGCAAAAAAAAAATCTAAACCGGAGGCCCGGCCCGACCCCGGACCGGACCCGATGGCTACCCGGGCCGGTCCCGAGTCCACTATTCTTGAACCACCGGCCCACCCGGGCTTAGGCCTGACCCGAACCCAGCCCGTACCCGAGTCCATCCCTAGACAAAGCCAAAGGATCGGAAAGTTCCGCTTCATTACAAAATGTATTTCATAGTGTATTTTTTTCTCAAATGTAGTTTTTTGTAAAATGTAATTTCTATTTCATTTCAAATAAATCAAATAAATGCTTTTGAAGTTTGTTTTTAAGACTTGTATAAAACTATTAAGCATAAATCATAAAAAAAAAATGTATTTACCGTTCTGGCCCGGCGGGTGGCCCGGCACGATTTGCACGAACCGGAATCGCATTTACCTCAGGCCGGTCCCAGGCCCATCTTCCACAAACCGGCAACCCGACCAGGCCTAGGCCCAGCCCAAATCCATGCTTAATATATAAGAAATAAAACATAATTAACATATTTTGGAATAAAATGCTCAGTAAACAGAATCAGGCTATATAGATAGGTTCATGCGTAAATAATGTAAGTTTCTTTTTTTAGAGTAATAATGCAAGTTTCTAGTAAAGATAAAATAAAATTTGGCTACAAGTTTCTAATGTAAATGAAGTGTTTTATTTTTTACATAATTATTAATAAAATGGTAGCAAATAAAAGTTATAGTTGAATTTGAATATAATAGATGAAAAATAAAGACCACATATATCTTGCAAAAGAAAATTCATTCATTCATTTTGAGACAACCCAAAAAGGAAAGAAGACAAGTAAAAAGAAAAGTAAAATAACCAAAGTAGGACCAAAATAAAAAAGATGTAATAAAAATATACAAAATAATTCGAGGAAAGAAAGTGAAACAGCGGTAATTAATTGGGCAAGCTAAACACATTATAACCCTTTAAGATTTCTCTCTCAAAAATGACTCAATAAAAAGGAAGTTAGTTTTAAACCAAAATCATGCTTCATAGAGAGGATACAGTGATATGTAATCCTAACAGCTAGCACACATACATTAAATAAATTTTAAATTGCGAACTCATCAGTCAAACAATCCACTAAGGCCACCTTCTTCATCTGATTCTTCCGGTTCTTCTTTGGGTTCCTCTTTAGGAGCAGCAGCCGATGGCTCATCACCAGCTAGAGCGGCAGTAAGTGGTGCAGCAGCAGCAGCAAATTTGCTCGGATCCTGCAAGTTTTATATGAGTGCTTCGTATATATCATTGTTTGGAACACTTCTAAAGTGCCACATTCGTTTTTCATTTCATGTTGTCCCAGAATTTTAGACAGATTTACTCGTGAGGAAAGAGTTATACGATTCATGTTGTTTCAATTTTGAAAAATTTGCAACGAATACAGAAACTGAAAGTTTGGCCCAATATGTGATAGTATAACAACTAAAAGATCTCCTTAAAACAATCAATCTAAACCACCTTCTATTGGTTGTGTCATTTTCCTTTACTTCAAAGCTATGTTGTAAAAAACCGGACCAGGAAGGGACCCAGTCGAATGATCAGGTCACGAGTCAGCCCGGATCTGACGGGTTAACCCGATCAAAGCCAGAAAACTCGGTTAACATATAATTAAAATTATTATTCTAACACATACATTTTTTAATAACATATAAATGTAATTTAAATTAGATGGACAATTTATATGAATATGATGCTTCTATAAAAATAATAGCAATAGTATGTATTGATGAAGTTATTCTGTATGTTTTTATTGTGATTATTAAAGTAGAAGCTCATTTAAAAAAATTACAAAGTAGGAACAATCTTTAGTGTAATGATGATGTATACAAACTTTATACTACGTATATATTATACTCCCTCCGTCACTTAAAACTTTGTGAAGTGTGACCGTCACGGGGATTAATAAAGTAAAAATTATTTGGTAGAGGTTGGTGCAGAGGAGACAGAATTGATTGTAGCCACAAATTCTTTACTTAAAATAGAAAGTGGCAAAGTTAGTGGGACATCCAAAAATGGAAAGTTGGCAAAGTTTTAAGGGACAGAAGGAGTATATAGTTAAAGCAAGACAATGACAAAGTCCGGTTCTTAAAACATAGCTTTAAAGTATTTCAAACATTTCCTTTACAACATTCATTCCATCCAAAACCACCACCAATTAGTCATTCCATTTTCCTTCCCTTCAAAAATTATAACATTTACAATAGCTTTTCCACTACCTTTTTATAACAAAATAAGATAATGGAACGTCATAAATACCACTATATTTTCATGTTCTCTAATACTATAGACTTATCCAACCCATTTACTATTATAAAACTATAAATAGCTATATACTGAAAATACTAATACAAATAGAGGAAGATTCAGCTAACCTTCAGGTATTCCTTGATCTTGTCAGCTTGTGGGAAAGAGTAATCTGTTGCTAATGCAAAGGAGAGGATGTTCTTGTAGGCATTGATGAGAATATGAGGGACAGCAGCAAGAGTTGGATAAGAAAGAGCCATAGACAAGGAGATCACAGTGGTTAAACCAGCACCAAATTTCTCAATGAGATCATCTTCAGTAAGCTCAAGAACCTCAGGGCTGAACACAGATCCATTGTCATATACATTATTAACTACCAGCCCATAAGAGAATGGTTTGATGCCAAGCTTGGCAAGTAGAGCTGACTCAGATGACCCCACCTTGTCCCCCTTCTTGATCAGATCCACTGCAGTTATAATTTCCACAGTACCTTTGTTGATCTTTGTAGGTATGTTCAAAACCTGAACATCGTTACAAGTATAATAGTATATATATGTCAGGTGGATAAAGTGAAAAGTGAAAACTGAAAAAAAAATATTACACTTGCTGTCTATGCCTTAAACCATAAAAAGTTTATCCAACTTGCTACAACATCAAAAAAACTTTATGAAGTGCCAATAATGTTCACACAAATTAAAGTACTGTTGTACTATATATGTATAAGAACCCTATAACCATATGGCACCAAACTGTGACAAACCACATAAGCATGAATATGTGATGCAGTGAGAATTTCACGTCATAAGAGTGAAAAGTAGGGGGCCTAACTGAGAATAAAGGACTGATGGGGCTCTTACTTTAAGTGCCCATTTTATATTTTTATCAGGCCAATCTGGAATAAATTGTTTTCTGGAAAATATGATGAGAAATTAAACACTAGTGTAATTGAATAAAGTGAATTATAGTATGGTTATTGAATATAAGGGTAAATTAAATACATGTATAAAAAATCTTGAAATAGAGTAAAAAGTGAAAACTGGTATACAAACGATGCTGCTGTTGTAATACAAATGATTTAGTAACCTCTATTCTCCACGATACTAGTTATACAAATGATGCTGCTGTTAGTCCCATTATGTACTCAACTGCTATTATTACACATCACAACATATAATAGCAATTCCACAAAACCGCAACAATCTTAACTGTTTGATTACATCAAGTACTGCAATACACTATACTTTTATCATTATATATTATTATATTAATATCTTACTACACACTGTCACCTATATATAAATGTGAAGCAGGCAGAAAAAGCAAAGTGAAGTGAACTACCATGTGTATTCCAATTTACCAATTACAACATAGGTAATTTACTATTTACCTGTCTGTATATTTAATGTTATGCAATTTCAGTATTCGACTATTATTAAATAGTTGTATATGAAAACTTTGTAGTATCAACAAATAAAACATTATTGACCTGAAAGAAACTGGTCTGGGAAGGATCAAGTCCAGTGCTTCCTGGGGGAACAACCACATCGACTGGAGCAACAAGACCAACCCTAGCCGGTGCTCCAACCTGCAGTACATATTGGACTAAAACATCATCATATATTCATCCAGGGTTTGATAAATATCGTCTTTATTTGAAACAGAAGTTTTAGAGTCAACCTGTAAACCATAACCACATTATGGCACAAGATCGAATAAGGACTTTATATATACCTTGTATTTGGATACTTCATCACTCACTTCTTTCAGATCTCCTTTAGTGAAAATCAACCCAACATTACCCTTAATGGAAATTTGCGTATCGGTATTAGTTTTATCATCATATTCAAATAAAAGTTCAGAAAAACGACAGTGAGAGGAAGATTAGGAGTTTAGAGTTAAGAGTAGGTGAGAAAAAGGAGAGGGAGCACTGACGACGAGATAAGGGACGAGGGCAAGAATAGCGGTGTTGCCGGTCTTCTCTGCATGAACACGGATGGAGCGCTTTATCATGGTGTTCTTACCCATAAGGATAATCGAATCGCCACGGAGGCCAGCGCGGATGTCCTGGAGTTGCTTGGAGCCAACATTATCAGCGGTCACGATGAGGATCTGGGAGTACATATCCAGAAGCTTACAGATCTTGGCGTCATACGCGATCTTCTTCTGAGCCATACTCACCTTCACCGCCATAGCTTGCGATCGAGTTACAGAGAGACAAGGGTGGCTGATTCGTTCGTTGGAGGCCTGAGTGTAAAAGCACAAAATGAATTATATTCTCAGAAACCCTAATAATATTACAACATTCTGGTGGTTTTGTCGGAATAAGGCCGTGACCTTGTGCCACCGGCCCAATCTTACTGAACTCAACTTTTAGACATTATACACCGCGACCTAAAAAATTAGACAGCCCATTAATAATCACCTTGAAACACTTCCAGCCTTTTTAACAATCAGACTTTTTCGTCTCATTTTTCATGGGAAAAATAATTTAAAAATCTCACTTTTTAAATGCCCCCACTCAACCCTCACCTTACCCCATTATATATAATTTCAAATTTTATTTGTGAATATATATATTATTTTCTTATATACAGTATTAATGCTTAGATTCCTGAAATAACAAGATAGCATACCAGCCAACTGGATGGAGTGCTACACGGTTTGCTCTTCTATCAAGGTTTCGAATCTTCCCAGCTTCGACCCTGTTTGATTTATTTTTTGCCCTATTATAATTGTTTAAAATTTGTCTAAATTTAAGATTTCTATTAAATTTTTTAATGTAGCTATTAAATGATACCAAATATGTAATTTTAATAACATCTTTTCATACTTAATATCAAAACTTGTTTAATTGTAACTTAAAGCACTTATAGTTACATATTTTATCCAATTCTTTTATATATTTGGTTTTGTACTTAATAAACATATTAGTTTAAAATAATTTATTATTTTGTAATTTCAATCACATCTTTTCTCATTTAGCATTAAAACACACTTGTTTATTTGTAACTTAAATTAGTTATAAACTTATAAATAAATATTTCACCTGTTTCTTATAAAAATTTATTTTATTTTTAATAAACTGTGGATTTTTTAATTAATATTTCTTTCCTAAAAATTGTGTGATAATGTTAGTGTAAATTTGCCCCAACTGACCGAATTTTCTGGATACACCACTGCTTGTACTTGTACTATATTTATTCTAAACATTATACAAAAAGTTATGTTAGAACTATGATCATATGTTTTTTTCACAAATGTAATTTATGGTGTTTAGTGCATCATATAAAATACAAAAACCATTTATGAGGATGCAATTGAAAATAAATTTTACCGGATGTAATATTATTTATTTCATCCATGAAACTTTAGAATGTTAATTGCATCCTAACAACATTTGGATTATTTATAAATTATGTAACTATTCCAATAAATTTATATTCGTAAAAAACACAATCATGATGGGAAAATAACTTTTTAGACAAAGTTCGGAGTATATACTCCAATAGATCGGGAGAGTGTTCTTTGCTTTCAAGAAAATTCAAAATTCCGTTCTTCCGGACAGTGTATTCGCCTCTTCGGAGTATCGGTGCCCTTGTGTTGTTACCAATCGATAACGCGCCCATGTTAGAATTGATCGGGCTGAGCAGTTGATTGACTAAATGTTTGTGTTTTTCCTTAAGTACAACTTCGCGCAAAAGGTTCATGCACACACACAGATTTGCGCAAGGAGTCAGTTCGCGCACAACAGCAGGATTGCGCACGAGTCTACTTTCACACACTTCAGCTTCGTGCACAGAGGAAATCGTGCACGAAGCTTTGTGCAAGCTTTGTGCACGGGTAGTTTTGCGCACGGGGAACTTCATGCACCGGGTTTATGCAAGGACACTTTGCGCACCAAGAGGATTGTGCACTGTTGTTTTCACGCACAGCTATTTTCGTGCAGAGAACTTTGCGCACAACTTCTTTCACGCAGGAGAAGAAGTTCACGCACAAGGCTTGATGCGTGAAATGTTGTTTCGCGCAGAAGGAGACGCGCCAACCAGAATCTTCGCTTTTCTCCTGTTTAACTTGTACGCAACCAAAAATTATGTGGACGATGTAGTAAATGATGAACATCAATCAACAAAACATCATCCCACATTCATTTTTTCCTTTTTAACCTGCAAAAATATCAAATAGAAAATGAAGAAATGTCGCGCACGAGGTAGAGGCCTTCGCGCACGAGAGAAAAACTTTAGCGTCAATCGGTCGATTAGCTCCGGCTCTGATACCAGATGTTAGGTCCCTGTTTCTGTGCTACAAATGTATGAGAATGGTGCTCATAGAGGTAGAATGAAGTTTTCCATTGATGACCAAGAAGTTTATAGAAGGATGAAGAATTTTAGCGTAAAACTTCCGTGGGGGTTTTGTGCTCTGCGGCTCTGGTGGAATAATACTGAAAAGCTTACCTATTTCATTCCCTAAAGGCATATTTATAGCCTTTGGGAATGGGTAAGTCACAATGATTGTACTCTAACATTTAGGAGGCCCATATCCCCTTTTAGCACGCTTTGCTAATTAAAGCTATTCTACACATTATCTAATACAACAAAAGGCATATACAAATTACATTGATCACAATATAAAAATGTCTCTAACAAGCAAGATATCAATAGTCTAGAATGTGTGGATGAGTTAAATAGATTTAACTTTGGTGGAGTTCTCCAAATTCTATTTAACTTATATCTACCTTTGAATATTGTCTTTTCGGTTTATTGTTTTTCAGTTTATTTCTTTCTAGATGCTGATATTTCTCACCCTGTTTTAAACGTTGGCTAAACAAACTTATTCAATTGTTTTAATAGTAAAATGGTGTACTTTATTTGAACACATCTCTACAAAAATCAAAGGAATCACTACTATATAAAGTTTAAAAGAATGAAAATCTGCCTCTGTAGATCAAGTTGTAACATAAAAAGTAAATCTAATGAGCCAAAACAAAGCTCTATAATTACGTAATTGTGCGCATAAATGATATAAAAACACTAAATATTGGTCAAATTTACTAATCCAATGCACAAAATGACAGCAGGTTAGAAGATGAATTCCATAGCATTGTTTAATACGAGTAATAAAGTTATTCTAAGGAAGTTTTAAAATTTTATTTTAAATCATATTCATAGATCATTATTACACCAGATTGTGCATTATTAAGATTACCTCTATAATATTGAGTGCAGCTTCTGAGACAATTGCTTGCCAGGAACACTTGCTCTGTTGCTGATATTCATTATCAAACCTTTACACACTCAACATCTAGCAATTAAATAGAATAATTGTCAATTATCTTTCAATAGCACCTAAATAGATCACATTTACCTTTTTGTGAGCAGAGATGGATAGCATAAGATAGATTATAAATTCATTTCTGGAATTTAGGAAATGTAAAAAAGGAATCACACACTAGTACAAAATATGTATTCTATAACTAGATTTTAATATGGGTTCAATTAGAACCGTTATAATATGTAGACACGGAGTCATATTTATAAATAATGAAAGTTTGATTAAGTTGAGCGGGGTATCTTTCATAAATAAAAAAACATTATTCATATGGGATATTTAAAGAACCGACATCAAACAAAATTACGAGGTCATTTTTGTGATTTCTGGAAACTTTAATTTCGAAATGGGGTATATTTTATAATTTTAAAAAGTACTTTTCAATGTCAATTGTGATGTAACCCTTATCAAAACTACTAAAATTAACCCTACCAAATGACCAATCCACTCAGCTCCAAATTAACCCTCCCAAAAAAAAAAACCTCCCACAATCGCTGCTCCCAAATTAACGCAACAAGCCGTTGCTCCCGACCGACGAAGAAGTTCCCGACCGACGAAGAAGACGACGCGGCTGAAGGCGACGAGGCTGAAGACGACTCGGCTGAACACGACGTTGCTGCTGAAGACGACGTTGCGGCTGTAGGCATGAAGCGAAGGGGAGGGGCGAGGGGCGAACTGTAAAACTGCGATTTTGGACTGTGGTTCTTGATTGGTTTCCTTCTTCCCATCAGCAAATCGATGACTCCACTACTCCACTCCCAGGTAAGTCCTCCACTCCAGGATAGCCTTAGAAATTTGTCACTGTTTTGGTTTTTAGAGAGGCTGAAATTTGAAGAAATGTATGTGTTGAAGCTAAATACTCATTCGCATCCAAGGCTGAAATTTCAGCCTGCTTTCTGTTTGGTCTTACTGAATAACAACCCAAAAATCCCATGGAGAAAGTCCATTTTCCATTTTACTGAAAAAATCACATACAGTTCTTCAGCCTGTTTTCTGTTTGGTCGCTTCTTCAGCCTTCAGTGTTGGTGAAACCTCTTGGACAGTTCTGTTGTATTGCTTCTTTCTTTGATGATTCGTTCTTGTCTGTACTAAATTTAATACTGCATATTAATGTTAATTTACTACTTATTAATACTTGATGTTTTCATGCGGTTATGTAACGATAACTTCATTAACTTCATGATTTTTGTGTTTGTGTTTTTCCCAGCTTGTTAATTTCCTGCTTATTAAATACTTCATGTTAATTTTCTGCTTATTAAAACTTCATGTTAATTCCCAGCTTGTTTCTGTTATTTTTGCTTATTAGTTTTGGTATATACTGCTTCTCCGTTTGATGCTTAAATTTTTGCTTTAAGTACTTTCAATGTCAGTCCTCGTGTAACCCTTATCAAAGGTTGTACTAAAGTTAACCGCAGCTAGCCCTACCGCCGAATTAACACCAAAATTGAACTCTTGCTTCTCCCTCGCGACAAATTGGGCCAAGAAGACTCTGCTGCTGAAGAAGACGACGAAGCTGCTGCTGAAGAAGGCGACGACACTGCTGCTCTCAACGAAGGAGACCAAGGCGATGCTGCCCTGCTGCTCTCGACGGCTTCGACGACGTCGTTGCTACTCCCATAGAATATATGACACTCATATAGTGGAGGAGTAAACCACTAACGCTTGCACTTTAGTTCTGTTTAAATTGTGCCTCTATTATTCTATTTAAAAAGCATTTTGATGACTCAACTCTCTTTATGGATCTCAAACAAAAAGTGTCCTAGTTTACCCTTTGCATTGTTGGTTTATGCTCGAGTAACTTTTAAGTTTTTTGTGAACTAAATCCATCTCAAACTTTAAATACTATATTCTCTTTTTACCATTAATCTTTAAATAGTTAAATGTTTTTATCTCTTATAAATTATTGATTACTTCAATGA